CCTTGAACCTGTTCCACAAGAACAGGGGCCAGCAGCTACCATTGTTTCTGCTGTCACCACCCGGGCACATGTTTGATGTGACACCCTTCACAACCTGAGTGTGCATGGTGGATACAGTAGGTGCAAATGCCCACTGCCAGGCTTCAGAGGCCTCGGCCCTTACAGAGGGCACGTCCCTTACAAGGGAGGTCAGTAACAGTGCTCTCGGTGGCCATTCCCTGTCTGATAATGTCACCTCTGTGTATTTGTGTGTGTGCACACCCTTTCTCAATCTCCCCTCCTGCTCTCCCCTGCCCGCCATGCAGATCTCCAGCCTGGGGAAGATGGTCTCCCTGGTTCAAACCAAGCCAGTGCAGTCGGGAGTGGTCACGGGTCAAGCGACGTCCAGCCCCGTCACACAGTACATTCAGGTGAGAGGCGCACAGGGAGAGGGAACACTGTGTTTGGCAGCTCAACGGTTGTAGCGGGGTGTCGGTACGGCACATTCTGAGCCAGGGACGGACGACCTGTTACTGCTCTGAGGTCAGGAATACTGTGTGGTGCACTGCCCAGCTAGCTCCAGCTGTCAGCTGTGACAAAGGCAAGAGCAGTGTTTTGGGGCATAATAGGTGGGTGGGGAGACGTGTAATGTGCCACCCCCCACCAAATACACATGCACAGTTTTTATGTTCTTAACTCTCTGGAATTTGTTGCCCTGATATGAGAGCTTTCAGGTTAACACCCTGTGCGCAATATAACCCTCCCTCGGGACTGTCCCCCTGAGGGCGGGGTGCCCCCTCAGCGCTGGACCCCCTCCCCCTCAAATGGCGGGGCACTCCCTTGGCGCTGATCCCTCGGCGCTGACCCCTCTGATGGCGGGGCGCTCCCTGGGCGCTGATCCTGTGATGGCAGGGTGCCCCCTTGGAACTGACCCCCGAGGGCGGGGTGCCCCCTCGGAGCTGACCCTTCTGATGGCAGGGCGCTCCCTGGGTGCTGACCCTGTGGTGGCAGGGTGCCCCCTCGGAGCTGACCCCTCCGGCGGGGCGCTCCCTGGGTGCTGACCGCCCCCCCCCCCCCCGCCCCGGCCAAGCTATGGATGTTGCTGATTAGCTGGCTCTCCCCCAGATCCTAACCGTGTTTTTTCTCCCGGCGCTATGCGGCGGATGTTACAGACCAAAGGCCCGCTCCCCCCTGGGGCGACCATCCTGAAGCTGGTGACGTCAGCCGATGGCAAGCCGACCACCATCATCACCACGACGCAGGCCGGAGGGACGGTGGCCACCAAGCCACCCACCATCCTGGGCATCAGCAGCATGTCTGCCAACACCAGCAACAAACCGGGCACCACTACCATCATCAAAACTATCCCTGTTTCAGCCCTCATGGCTCAGCAGGGGGCAGCAGGTAATGCACAGGGATTTGTACAGTGGGCCTATTCGGAAAGGCTACCCTGAACGGGCCATTCGGCCTACTGAGCACTTTGGTGGTTAAGAGGGCGTTTGGCACGTTTGCTTTCATCGCTCAGACCTTTGAGCATCGGAGGTGGGGACGTCACGTTGAGGTTGTACAGGGCAATGGTGAGGCCTCTTCTGGAGCACTGTGTCCAGTTCTGGTCACCTTGTCATTGGAAGGATATGACTAAGCTAGAGAGGCCTCAGAGAAGATTTACCTGGATACTGCCAGGAAGGGGAGAGTTTGTATTCGTGGCTGGATAGGCTGGCACTTTCCTATTGGAGTGTAGGAGGTTCAGGGGCGACCGTATAGAGATTTATAAAATCGTAAGGGGCATGGATAGGGTGAATAGCAAGGGTCTTCTCCCTAGGATGGAGGAATTTCAAGACTAGAGGGCACATTTTCAAAAGTGAGAGGCGAAAGGTTTGAGAAATTTTTTTTTTTTTTACAGAGTGATTTGTGTGTGGAATGAACTACCAGAGGAAGTGGTTGATGTGGGCACAGTTACAATGTTTAAAAGACATTTGGATAAGTACGTGAATAGGAAAGGTTTGGAGGGCTATGGGCCAGGAGCAGGTGGGTGGGACTGGGTTCAGTTTGGGATTGTAGTTGGCATGGACTGTTTGGACCGAAGTTTCTGTTTCTGTGCTGTCTGACTCTATAACTACACCTTCCTGCCTATCCTTGAATTCCCAGAAATCTGTCCACTTCCTGACCTCGGGAGCCGTGAGCGACTTGGTGTTGCCTGGGCTAGAGGACGAAGGCTCACAAGCCCCGAGAGCAGAAATGTCTCCTCCACCTCTGCCAGCAGCCCGTGTTCCAGACTCGGCATCGTGCTGCCTCTCAGCACTTAACCCTGCCTGGGTGTCAGTGGGGTCAGCACCTCTTCTAGACACCAGGAAATATGGGCATATTGGTGCCCCCAGGCAGTTTTGGGGTCCTCTGCAACTGGGTGGGCACTGCTGGGGCTGGGATGCCATCATCAGTCCGAGAAAGGACGTATTAATTTAGTTTCTAATGAAGGGTCTAGGCCCGAAACGTCAGCCTTCCTGCTCCTCTGATGCTGCTTGGCCTGCTGTGTTCATCCAGCTCTTCACCTTGTTATCTCAGATTTTCCAGCATCTGCAGTTCCTACCATCTCTATTAATTTAGTTTCTTTGCTTGGTAACCAAACCTAGCCTTCCATTTGCTGTTTGGATTACTTCCAGGGTACAAATGCCACCTTGCACCTCCCTGCTCGATGAGAGGTTGATCCAGGGGTTGGCAGGCAGGAGCCCACAGCTATCTATAAGCGCTCACCGTTTCACAGGCAAATGGATTCCCCCTTGCCAGCCCTGTCCCTGGATGGTCCTGGCTCCTCGTCACTGCCTTTTCCTGTTGTCTGCCTCAGCAGCTTTGTAAACAGCACTAGCAGTGAGTGTCAGGTAGTTTGGTGGTGCAGCCCCAATAGTTAGTCAGCTCCATTGCCAGCCTGATGGATTACTGCAGCTGGTTCTCGCTGGAATGTCCAGCGCACTCGGGGCTGTTCAGCAAACTGTTGCCCATCTGACCTTAGAGCTCACCTTTGCCAAGGCGGGTTAGTGAGTGAGCAGCCAAAAGGGGGGCGCGATGTTTCACACGGAGGTTTTGGGTGGGGGGTTGAGTCTCGCCTCTGTCTGGTGTGTGTAACGCGCACGGCGCCGCCTGTTTCCATCCGCAGCGGTCACAAGCAACACCGGCATGAAGTCTCCGATCACCATCTTCACCACCAAAGTGATGACGCCAGGCACCAGCAGCCCTGCCAAGATCATCACCGCTGTGCCAAAGATCAGTGGAGGAACGGGCCAACAGGGGCTGACACAGGTTAGTGCCCCCCCCCCCCCCCCCGGGGGGGTGGGGTGCCCGTCATGGCTGGAACAGAGCGGCTTGGATGTGCAGTGCCTGGAGTGTGTTGAGCATGAGTGGGAGGGAGTGCTCTGGGAGTGAGCGTGACACGTGTGTGCGTGCGCACGGTGCAGACTATGGAAGTTAAGTTAGAATGTCAGCACCAAAGCCCATTCTGCCCAGTTTACTTGTTCAAAGTGCTGTCCAGTTATTCCCATTCCCACACCACTTCATCCCCCACAGCCCTCTGCGTTATTTATCCGATGCACTGCCGTCTCAGCCGGCACGTTCCAGATTCCTCCTCAAATGTATTCTCGAAAGCAGCGTTTCTTGCCTTCTCCTTCTCTGCCGGCCTCTCTTTTTGCCTGGTGCCCTTTCGTGGCCTAGGCTGCCCATTGCCCTCTTGAACCGAGTGCCTCGCTTAGGGCCATGTCGAAGGATGTTTGCGGATCTAACCCCGTTGCTGTAGGGTCTGGGCAAGGGAGGAATGGCCCATTTCCTCCCAGAAGGGATTATCCATGAACCAGCCTGGTCTCTCCCAATGGTGGTCAGCGTTCCCGAGGAGCTGCCGACTCCGCCGTCATTAACAGAATTAAAATACCGTTGGTTGCCCTGGTAGGAGTTGAACTCGTGTCCTGTCTGCCCAGCTCGAGGCAGTGGATGCAGCTGCTTAAAAACACCCCCTTCATGGTTTGAAATGCTTCCTGACCACTTCAAGGAGAACAGTCCCAGCTTCAATTCCCATTCGATCACTTCCCACCTTTCTGGGCAGAGTGTTCCAGATCGCTCGCGCTGTAACCCTCAAATGCTCGCTGCTTGTCGGGCCTTGTGCCCATATCCTCACACCTCCCACATCCTCCCTGCTCCTGTCGGAGTCCTGAACCCCAGGACTCGATTGTATCAGTGACCCTCTGATATTGAGGGCCCAGTGCTGAAATCGCGCTCTCATCTGCTCCGTCAAATCATTCTTGCCGCCTCCCCACCCCGGTCATCGATTTGGAATGTCGCCTGGATTTCTGGCTTCCACCACAGGCTTCGATTTCACACGGGTGTTTGAGAGGATGTGTTTAAGGTTCAGTTGGATCCACAGGCAAGGGAGGAGGGTCTGCTGTCACTGCTTACAGAGACTCTGAACGGAACTCAGCTGCTGGTGGGCACAGAGATTGCTGACAGCCCGTGTTCACACTGATGTGTCATCTCCAAAGCACAATGCACAGGAAAGATTGTCACAGTGGTGGCGGGGCGGGGGTGCAGTTTTGTGTGGGGGGCGCGGGTTGCTGTTGGTTTCTGTGAACGCTGTGCCCACACTGATCCAGCTACTTGCTTTCTTTCCCAGGTATTACTGAAGGGAGCCCCTGGGCAGCCAGGCACCATCCTGCGCACTGTCCCGGTCAGTGGCATGCGGTTAGTAACACCGGTATCTGTCTCGGCCGTGAAACCAGCTGTCACCACCCTGGTGGTCAAGAGCACGACAGGTAGGTGTGTCAGAGCCCCTCCCTTACAGCGCCGTACCGCGGACACCCACCCTCCCTCTGTCCTCCTGCTAATGTCAGGCTGCTGTGACTCTCTCTTCCCAGGTGTGACCACCCTGGGCACGGTGACGGGATCCCTTGGAGGGACAGCGGGGGTGGGCGCCGCCACCACCCTGGCTGGCACCCTGGGCACCTTCTCCAGCCAGCTGATCAATTCTGCGGTCATCACCGTGTCCGCCGCTCAGCCCGGCCTCACCACGAGCAGTACGCCATCTGTCGCCATGCAGGTAACGCCAGGCTCTGCCCGCCAGCCGGTGTAAGGGGGTGGCTGGTGTCAATCTACAGAGATGTGGGGTTTGAGGAGGTCCACTTTGGCAGGAGATGTGAAATAGCTGCCTCGTGTGAACGTGGGGAGAGAGACTGTACAACGCTGCTTTGCAGAGGGATCTGGGTGACCCGTGGCGGGGGGACAAATCTCCAAGCATTAACACATAGGTGTAGTGAGTGAGCGAGGCAGGTAAAGTGTTGGTGTCAGTTATGAGGCACGGAATAGAACAGCCTGAAAGTCTTGCCCCAACCGCACGGGGTTAGGTGAGACCGGAGTCCCTCCCTAACAGCACTTGTGGGTGTCCTTAAACCTTAGAAAATGCTGATGCTCACCACCACCACCTTCTCAAGGGGCAATTGGGGATGGCCAGTTAATGCTGACCCAGCCAGTGACACCCACGTCTCACGAGTGGATGGAAAACAGTTCCAGGAGCACTGCCCCCCTCACTGAAGGGCGGGTACACTAATACTGGAGGCAGTTCAGAGAAGGTTGCCTTGTCTGGTCTTTGGGATGAAGTGGTCTATCTTGCCACAACGCAGTGGCTCAGTGGTTCTCGCTATTGCCTCACGCCACCAGGAACCCAGGTTCAGTTCCACCCCCTCGGGTGACTGTGTGTGTGTGGAGTTTGCACATTCTCCCCGTGTCTGCGTGGGTTTCCTTCCACAGTCCAAAGATGTGCAGGTTAGGGTGGATTGGCCGTGCTAAATTGTCCCGTAGTGCCCAGGGATGTGCAGGTTACGGTGGATTGGCCATGGGAAATTGTCCCGTGGTGGCCAGGGATGTGCAGGTTAGGGTGGATTGGCCGTGGGTTTCAGGGATAGGGTAGGGCGGTGGGTCAGGGTGGCGTGCTCTTTGGAGGGTTGGTGTGGACTTGAGGGGTTGAATGGCCTGCTTCCACAATGTAGGGTCCTATGTTTTTCTGTGTTTCGGAGGAGAGGGTGAGCTGGTTGGATCAGTCCCCATCGGAGTTTGGAAGAACAGGAGGGTGATGGCATTGAAATGTCTCACACCCTGAGGAGGGAGGATTGACAGGGTGGAGGCTGAGAAGATGGTTTCCCTTATGGAAGAGTCTGGATTGAGGGGACACAGTTTAACACCTTTCTTTGCAGTTTTGTACCCATCAGGCATGTCATCCCCAACCAACATTTTGAGATTTATTTAGGCCAACTGTCATTGTGTTTAATTCCGTCTCTGTTTTTTTCTCTCTCTCTCCCTCCTTCCCTTTCCCTCTCTCCTTCCTACCCCTCCCTCTCTCCTTTCTTCTCTCCAACCCTCCCTCTCTTTCCATCTGCACCCCCTTTCCCTCCCCTCCCTCTCCTTCGTCTTCGTCTTTTTCTCTGTCCCCTTCTCGCCTTCCTTCCCCCCCCTCCCTTTCGCTCTCCTTTCTTTCCCCCCCCCCCCCCCTCGCTCTCCTTCCTTTCCCCCCCTCCGCCCCTCTCGCTCTCCTTTCTTTCCCCACCTCCGCCCCTCTCGTTCTCCTTCCTTTCCCCCCCTCTTCCCCCACCTCTCGCTCTCCTTCCTATCACCCCAGGCGCCGTCAGAACCCACACGGGTCACGTTAATCACTGCACCCACCGGGGTGGAGACGTCGTCGATCCAGGAGTTGCCCATCACTATCCTTGCCTCCCCCACCATGGAGCAGCCCTCGCTGGTGCACGTGCCCGAGAGCGGGCAGGCTGAGTGCCAGGCGTCTGGGAGCCCGCCCTTGGTCTGCTCCAACCCTCCCCACGAGACGTCTGAAACCAACACCACCAACACTGCCACGACGGTCACTGCCAACATGGATGCCAACCAGGGTAAGGACATGGGTGGCATTGCTTCGCTCGGGGCGGGGAAGCTCGGAGCTGCGTGAGATCCGATAATCAAGCCACCCTCGGGCTGGCGGGATTTCTGACCGCTCGGGACGATGAGGAGCCTACGCGGCCTGCCGCACGAATAACCTCTTCCTCCCCCTCTGACTCTCCCGCAGTCCAGCCTCCGCCCACTAACGCGCAGGGCCTCCCGGAGACCGTGCACGGGGAAACGGCCACAGCAGGTACAACCAACACAGCAACCACGGTGTCTGCTGCACAGACAGGGGCCAACACCACAGTGACACAGTCAACCCCGACACCCAGCCCCTCCATCCCGGTAAGTGAGCATTCGGAGATTGCGTGTCCAGCCACCAGACGTTCCATCAGGGTCTGAGACTCCTTCCACTGACTGTTTTACACATCATCACCAACCACTTATAGGGCACTGGTGACTCACTCCCAAATTGTGAGAGGTCGCCTCACACTCCTCCTCCAATAACTAGCACCAATTTACATCCACCACATTCAGATGATTAGGCACCCTCCTGTTTAATTATGCTGCAGGACCAGCTTCTGGCTTGTGCTGTCGGCATCAGACTCTGACCCCTTCACCTAAAGGAGTGAGGCCTTGACCTGCTGGGCTGCACTGACCAGAGGAGTCTTCCTTGTTACAGGAGAAAGACTGAGTACGGGGTTTATTTTAGTGTAGCCTGAAGGACTAGGGCAGATTGAGCATAAAGCTCCCTTTACACTGTCCCCCAATCAAACACCCTCAGGACAGGGACAGCACGGTGGGGTTAGATAATGAGTAAAGCTCTCTCTACACTGTCACCTTCATCAAACACTCCCAGGACAGGGACAGCATGGGGTTAGATACAGAGTAAAGCCCCCTGTAGACTGCACTCAATCAAACACTCCCAGGACAGGGACAGCACAGGGTTAGATACAGAGTAAAGCTCTGTTTACACCATCCCCAGTCAAACCCTCCTGGATAACGACCGCACAAGGAGTGGGGTGGGGGAGCGGTGTTGGTTAGATACAAAGTAAAGCTCCCTCTACACTGTCCCCAATCAAACCCTCCCAGGATAAGGACAGCACAGCAGGGGTTGGGTTAGACGCTGAGTAGAGCTCTGTGTACACTGCCCTCTCGGATTCTCTGAGCTGGGATAATGTTGATGGGTTTGTGATACTGATGGGGTTCTCTCTGGCCTCTCCTCTGGCTGCAGGGTGTGGCGAGGATATCGGAAGGCACGAACGTCACAACGTCGATGGAACAGCCCAGCCCCTCGACTGGTGAACAGCCTGTGGCCCCGGACACAGTCGCTGGGCCCCCGCCAGCTACAGGGGAGGATGCTGCACCACCTGGGCCCACCGCAGAGACTGGCACCCCCCTGCAGACCGGCGAGGGCACAGGAGCCGAGCAGCTGGCACCCCCTCAGGAGCTGATGGCGGACGCGATGGCCGGGCAGAGCGATCTGGCGGGCCTGACACCAGAGGAGCTGGCAGTGACCGCGGCCGCGGAGGCAGCGGAACAGGCGGCTGTCTCTCAGGAGGTGCAGGCCCTCGCCCTGCAGGCCGTGTTGCAGGCTGCACAGCAAGCTGCCATGGGTAGGTACGATGTGACCCGTCCCGTCCCCCCCCCCCCCACCTCAACCCCCAAACAGCCGTCCGGTTACATCGCACTCAGCACTGGACACCCCACCCCCAGTGCCCGCTCCCCTCGGCCATTGGCCAACGGTTTGCGCGGACCGTCAGCCTGATAAAGATGTGTCACACCTGCTGTACTTCTTTAATAAGCAGGGCTAACGTTAGCCGGGCTCGTTTGAGAAGGAACCTTTTTTATTTTTCTCTCCCCCTGCCGCTGCGTTCGCTTTCCTAATTTTTCCGTTTTCTCCACCCTCCCCCTTCCAGGTTCTGGGGAAACGATCGAGATGCCGGACCCAAAGCAGCAACCACACGAGACGGATTTGGCCCAGCTGAGCGCAGTGTCCGCCGATGCCCAGCAGGCAGCGCTCCCGCTTGCCGTGCTCGCTCACCAAGATCTGGCGGCGCTAGTCCAGCAGCAGCAGCAGCAGCAGCAACAACAACAACAACAACAACAACAACAACAACAACAACAACAACATCTCCTGTCTGCTGGGCCTAGCCAGCCCCAGCTACCCACTGAAGCCCTGGCGCCCGCTGACAGCCTCAACGACCCTACGGGCGAGACCAATGGGCTCGGTGAGCTCGGTGTGCCTACCAACAGCGTGGGCACCCACCCGCTCCTCCCCCCGACCACCACCGAGGGTATGTGTCCACTCCGACTGACAGGCTCCCCGCCCCACCGTGGCCCCTGCCCCTTTAAATTCTACCATCTTTAACCTGGGCAGGGCCTGGGGTTTGAGCCACAGGGAGGGGCTGAATAGGCTGGGGGCTGTTTCCCCTGCAGTGTCGGAGGCTGAGGGGGTGAGCTTGTGGAGGTTTATAAAATCATGAGGGGCGTGGACAGGTGAATAGCCAAGGTCTTTTCCCCCAGGCGTTGGGGGAGTCCAAAACTAGAGGGGCATTTATTTAAGGTGAGAGGGAGAAAGGGACCTGAGGGGCAACGTTTTCACGCAGAGGGTGGTGCGTGTGTGGAATGAGCTGCCAGAGAAAGTGGTGGAGGCTGGTACAATTACAACATTTAAAAGGCATCTGGATGGGTCCATGGATAGGAAGGGTTTAGAGGGGTATGGGCCGAATGCTGGCAAATGGGACTAGATTAAATTAGGATATCTGGGTCAGCACCGAAGGGTCTATTTCCGTGCTGTACAGCTCTCTGACTCAGGTCAGGGGTCATTCCGTGACTGGCAACAAATGTGACGTTCCTGTTGAATTTTGAAGAGTTTCCATCGTGAGGAAGGATCTGGGTCGGCTGCATTTGTGGAGCGGAGTGGGGCGGGGTGAGGGGAGTGAGATCTGATTGAGCTGTACAAAACCGTAAGAGGCACAGATGAGGTAAATTGTGAGAATCCTTCTCCCCCCACCCATAGCAGACGTGTCTTAAGACCAGACAGTTTAAGCTGAAAGTGAGCAATAAGTGGTCGAGGGGAGATTTGAAAAAAATTGCTTTCAGCCAGAGGGTGTTAGGGGGAGGCAATGGTTTAGTGGTATTATTCCTGGACTGTTAATTCAGAGACCCAGATAATGTCTGGGGACCCAGGTTCGAATCCTGCCACGGCAGATGGTGGAATTTGAATTCCATAAATATCTGGAATTAAGAATCTAATGATGACCGTGAGTACATTGTTGATTGTTGGAAAAATCCATCTGGTTCACTAATGTCCTTTAGGGAAGAAAACTGCCATCCTTACCTGGTCTCGCCTACATGTGATTCCAGACCCACAGCAACGTGGTTGACTCTCAACTGCCCTCTGGGCAATTAGGGATGGGCAATAAATGCTGCCTGGCCAGCAACGCCCTCATCTCGTGAATGAATAAAGGAAAAAAAACGAAATTGGAACGGAGCAGTTTGGTGTTTGTTGGTCAGTATAGATGTGGTGGGCTGAAGGGTCTGTTTTATACGGCATATGACTCTCTGGCCCTTGGGGAAAGCTCCGCTGGGAGTTGGGAGCTCGCGGGTTTCCCAGGAGGATTTTGGGTTGGAGTCAGTTGGGGGTTGGTGGTTGCATGTGCCTCAGCTCACCCTCTGGTCCTCTCGCCTGCAGGCCTGGCACCGTCCAGCTCTCTTGCTTCCCCGCAGCCAGTCTCCGTGGTGAGTCCCAGCAAGCTTCAGGCAGCCACGACGCTCGCAGAGGTAGCCAATGGGATTGAGCCCTCCTCGACTGTGGTAAGCCGCTCACCGTGGTCAGCTGGGACGGGATAACATTCCGTGTTTCCGGGGCTGAGCCCCTCTGGCACACTTTGGGGTGGGCTCCCAAAGCATTGCCCAGCAGCATCTAGAGCAGTTTCACTTTATTGATCGTAGTGCTGGCAGAGGAAGCTGGTCACCCTGTCGCATTTTGCCCCATTGGACAAGAGACAGTCTCTTTCTTTACTCTGACCTGAAGCCATTGCTTTTCCCGTTTCATATTAACGATGCACAGTATGCAAGGGCCACCGTTTCTGAGTCAGCAGGCAGCACCAAACCCGGAAGCGGTGCCGATTGGTTTAAAACTATAAAAGGCCAGTGAGGATTCTGGAGTAGGGTGATAGGTGGCAGGTGAAGTTCAGTGCAGAGACAGTGAGGTGATGGCCAGAGGAGAATGAAGATTGTGTTTAAAAAAAAAAAAAAAAGTGATATTCTTAAACTACAAGAACTGAGAGCCAGGGTGTGCTTTAAGGTACCGGAGGTGGAAAGTGTGGTCAATAAAGCATTCAGTTTTCCAGGCTCGATTCTTAGGGGCCTGAAGTACAAGAGCAAGGAGAAACTTGTTAGACATCAGCTGTGAGTATTGTGTCCAGTTCTGGTCACCAAGCATTTGAAAGTATTGGAGAGAGCGCGGAAGAGGTCTATGAGAATGGAGATTTAATTACATAGAACATAGAACGGTATAGGCCCTTTGGCCCACGATGTTGTGCCGAACTTTTACCCTAAACCTAAGGTCTATCTAACCTCCACCCCTACCTTATACTATCATCCATATGCCTACCTAATAGCCGCTTAAATGCCCCTAATGAGGCTGACTCCACTACCCTCTCCAGCAATGCATTCATCGCCCCGACCACTCTCTGAGTAAAGAACCTACCTCTGAAATCTCCCCTATATCTACCTCCACTCACTTTAAAACTATGCCCCCTCGTAATAGCTACCTCCACCCTAGGAAAAAGTCTCTGGCTGTCCACTCTATCTATACCTCTGATCATTTTGTACACCTCTATCAAGTCACCTCTCATCCTTCGTCGTTCTAAAGAGAAAAGCCCTAGCTCTCTCAACCTTTCCTCGTCAGACCTTCCCTCCATTCCAGGCAACATCCTGGTAAATCTCCTCTGCACCTTTTCCAACACTTCCACATCTTTCCTGTAATGAGGCGACCAGAACTGGACACAATACTCCAGATGTGGCCGAACCAGGCTTTTGTATAGCTGGAGCATAACTTCATGGCTCTTGAACTCGATCCCTCTATTAATGAAAGCGAACACACAATACACCTTCTTAACAACTCTATCCACCTGGGTGGCAGCTTTCAGGGAACTGTGGATGTGAACCCCAAGATCCCTCTGCTCCTCCACTCTGCCAAGAATCTTTCCGTTAACCCTGTATTCTGCTTTCAAGTTTGTCCTTCCAAAATGAATCACCTCACACTTTTCAGGGTTAAACTCCATCTGCCACTTCTCAGCCCAGCTCTGCATCCTATCAATGTCGCTTTGTAACCTAGAACAGCCCTCCGCACTGTCCACAATGCGACCCACCTTCGTATAGTCCGTGAACTTACTAATCCACCCTTCCACTCCTTCATCCAAATCATTTACAAAAATCACAAATAGAAGAGAACCCGGAACAGATTCTTGTGGTACACCAGGAGAGGAGAGACCAGAGTAGTTTGGACTGTTCTTGGAGAGGAGATTTGGTAAAAGTGCTCAAAATCACAAGGGGGCTGCATGCAGTGCGCTGTGAGAAACACTGCCCGTCCATGAGAGAATCGAGGGCTTGGATAGAAAGTAATTTGCAAGTGAAGCAAAGGTGGTTGGGATAAAAAGCTGCTTCCACACAGCTGGTCGAAAAAATACATCTTGTAGATGTTCAATAAATTCCTTCTCTTGAGATCAGTTACTAACCTGATTTTCCCAGCCCCCTGCTCCCCCCCACCCCCCACCTGCCAGTGGCTATTGTAATAGTGCCTTTCTTACATGCCTTTTCCATCTCCTGACTTACTTTCTGCCCTACGTCCTGACTACTGCTTGGAAACCTGTACACAACTCCTGTCAGGATTTTATCTTATGTGGTTCCTCAACTGTTCCCACACAGATCCTCCGTCTTCCATCTCTACACCACTTTGTCATTGATTTAATTTCATTTCTTGCAAACAAGGCAGCCCTAACCCTTTCGATAAGATGTGTATCCTTGGATATTTAGGTTCCAGCCCTGACCCCCTTGCAGCCAGGTCTCTTTATTACCCACAACATCATACCTGTCGTTGGTAGCTATCACCAATCAATGAACTTACGGTTTTACCGTGTGATATCACTTTTTTGTCCTGAGCCCTTGATTCTGTGCCTCAGTTTATCCTGTTTAAACCACAAAACCTCACAAACCACGAGCCCAGAAAAACATCCAATCCCGCTGTGCACCGAATTCCCACGAAGCCTCTGGTTTCCCCAAACTTTACACTCAGGCTGTGTCTCACTGATTTCACCTTTTTGACTGTGTGAAGCTTACAGATCCCTCAAGTAGATAGTCAGTGGCACCTTCCTGGGGAGCTTTTCAAAGGAATATTTCCACGTGACCTGGGGGGCAGCATTTATCATGCATCCCTAACTGCCCCCCCAAGAAAGTAATGAGCTGCTTCCTCGAAACCCTGTACTTCGTGTGGTATAGGGCTGCCCGCAGTGCAGTTACAAAGGGAGTGCCAGGATTTGGACCTGGTGGCAGTAAAGGAATGGACGTTATCACTCCAACTCAGGATGGTGCCTGTCTGTGAGACAGGAGGTACGGAGCGGAGCTTGCAGAGGGTGCTGTCCTCCCTTAATTCAACCCCTCCCTCCTCCACGGCCTGTTCTTCCAGGGGGTAGAGGTGGTGGGTTTGGTAGATGCTGGTGGAGGAGCCTTGGTGAGTCGCTGCAGTGCATCTTGTCGATGGTATGTACTGCAGCCGCTGTGCGTTGCTGGTGGAGGGAGTGAGTGTTGAAGGTGGGGGTTAGCGTGTCGATCGAGGTCAGGGGGTCAGTGGGTGCTGCTCTGTCCTGGATGGTGTTGAGCTTCTCAAGTGTTGCTGGAGCCGCACCCCGTCCAGGCAAGTCAATTTCTGTCACATTGTCCTGGCATAACAGGATATTGTGAGCAAAGCAGTCAGGGGCCAGTCTTGGTTACACCATTTGTGCATTGGGAGGCCTTTAGAGCGAATGAAATTGGAGAGAGGTGGCTATTGCAATGCAGCGAACAGCTCCCTCTGCTCTGCTGCCAGTTGTTTACGGTATCGTACGTTTGAGCGTAAGGCAGAGGAGGAGTGTTTTCCACCGAGTACCAGTCTCTGGGTTTCAGTTGATTGACCTGACTGTCTTTGTCTCGACCTCAGAAAGGGGACACGTCCTCCGTCACTCCGAAACCCGCTGTCAAGAAGGATCTGAACCAGTGGCTCGATGTTGGGGTGATCAAGGGCACAACAACCGTGGTGACCCACTATCACTTGCCGCCAGACGGTTTGCCTGCCAGAGACGTAAGTCTGAGTTTCTGAGTGTACCTGCCGTAAGACCGTGAGATATAGGAATAGGCCATTTGGCCAGTCGAGTTAGCTCCACCATTCAATGAGCTGATCTGATTCGCCTTTTCCCATAACCCTTCGATTCCTCTCTCGCTCATTTAAAAATAGCCTTGAATATACTCTTAAACGCACGCACCGACAGGCTCAAGAACAGCTTCTTCCCCGCTGTTATTAGACTGCTGTGAATAGACCCGTCAAATTTCAAACTTAATGTCGACCATGCTCTCTATGCACCTCCTGTACAGCAGTAACTTTGCATTCCTTGCTCTGTTCTATCACCCTATGATCTTTGTATGGTGTGATCTGCCTTTTACTGCACGCAGAGCAAAACCTTTCACCATGCCTACGTATGTGTGACAGTAATAAATCAGATCAAATCAAACTTGGTGATAGTATCAGAGATAGTAGGAACTGCGGATGCTGGAGAATCTGAGATAACAAGGTGTAGAGCTGGATGAACACAGCAGGCCAAGCAGCATCAGAGCATTTCCGAAGGAGGGTCTCGGCCCGAAATGTCAGCTTTCCTGCTCCTCTGATGCTGCTTGGCCTGCTGTGTTCATCCAGCTCTACACCTTGTTATCTCTATTGGTGATAGTATGTTCACTTTACTCCTCCAGGTGATTAATCTGTGTTGTTAAATATTCACAGCCCCCAGCACTGATCCCTGTGGCCGTCCCCTAGTTACAGCTACTGTTCCCTGGCACAGCCATTGCTGTAAGGGACCCCAGTGTGTGGAGCGGCGATCTCCTTTTCACACCCTGAACCCGAAGGGAACTGGCTGACTCCACACTTGTTGTTTTTATTTGATTTATTGTAGTCACATGTACCGAAATACAGTGAAAAGTTGTGTTTTGCGAGTAGTACAGGCAGACCACAGCAAACAAGGACATGGGGCGCTTAGGCACAGCGAGGCAAACCAGGTTATGGCTGTACAGGAGGTGCACAGATCGAGATTAGATTTGAAATTAGAGAGGTCCATCCATCAGTCTAATAACAGCAGGGAAGAAGCTGTTCTTGAACCTGTTGGTGCGTCTGTTCAAACGTCTGTATCTTCTGCCTGACGGAAGAGATTGGAAGAGAGCTTCGCCGGGGTGGGAGGGGTCTTTGGCAGTCTTTCCGTGGCAGCGAGAAGTGTAAACAGCTTCTGCAGGGGCCTGGGCTGTGTACACAACTTTCTGTAGTTCCTCCTGGTCCTGGGCAGAGCAGTTGCCATACGAGGCTGTTATGCAACCGGGTGTGTCTGTAAAAGTGGGTGAGGGTCCTTTATGGACATGCTGAATTTCCTAAGCTTCCTCAGGGAGTACGAACCTTCTGAATCTCATTTACCTCCTCTCAGTGCGGTGCTCCCATAATGCAGGCACTTGTGGTTAAGATTGCGATGCCCATTCTCTGGGAGCCCTGTGAGTTTCCAGGCAGGTGTGGTACCCAGTGGGATGGGGCTGACATGTCTGCATGTACATTTCTTTCTGTCTGTGTCATGGGTCTCATTCCCCCACCCCCCCAATGTTTTCAGGATGATTCCGCACCGATCCCAGACCACAGCCAGCTGAAACGGCAGGAGCTCCAGTCGGGCACCGCCTACAAATTTCGGGTGGCGGGCATCAATGCCTGCGGGCGAGGACCGTTCAGTGAGATCTCCGCCTTCAAGACCTGTTTGCCAGGCTTCCCGGGGGCTCCTTGTGCCATTAAAATAAGCAAGGTAAGGAGAATGCTGCTCCGAAGTCAGGAGCTCTGAAGATTCACAAACTTTTCTGAGATGTTTCTGCCCAACTCTTCAGTATCACCATGGATCACATTTTCATCAACGGATTGTCACTTCACATCAAAAACAATTCCCCTTTCACCAAACCATGTTGACTCTGCCCGATCGCCTTGACTTTATCTAACGGCCCTGTTATAACGTCTCTAATAGTAAGCTTCCAACATTTTCCATTTGATGGATATTTAGGACACTGTCCTGTAATTTTCCTGCTGTCTGTGTCCATCCCTTTTTGAATAAAGCAGTTACATTTGGAAAGTGGCAACCAAATGGGACCTTGCAAATCCGAGGGAGTTTTGTATTAACGATTTCACTTCTGGTCAGGCTGCAGGGTGAGGCTGGGACCTGTCAGCCCGCACCTCAAACACTTTTTACCCAGTTCCACTGTTGCATAATGCACAGGGAGATCCGGGTTTGGAAGAGGGAAATCTTCCCTCCCTCGCCTTGTCTGGGCCTGCAGACCCCACACTGTGAGGTGGTGCCCTCTGAAAGGTCCTGGAACGAGACACTTTCTCCACAAGAGGAGACGCTGGTCCCCTTCCCGGAATTAGTGCATCACTACCACCTCCTCCCGTATCCTTCCCGAAATACGGAGACAGACATGGCGTGAATATTCCAGGTGTAATCTCGCCAAGGCCCTATGCAGCGGTAGCAAGTTTGCTCTGTTGATGTACGCCAATCCCCCGTGTAGTTAAGACCAGCCTGCGATGACACTCGCTCCGGACCCAGCAGGTGAGTGGACCTTTTCCCTGACGTGGTTCTGGTTTTAAATACCAGCTTTTCTCTTTCTCTCTCCTCTGCATCCCCATCCCCCACCTTCAGAGTCCAGATGGGGCCCACCTGACGTGGGAGCCCCCCTCCATGACATCGGGGAAGATTATCGAGTACTCTGTGTACCTTGCCATCCAGAGTACCCAGTCGATGGAGCTGAAGCCCAACAGCCCGGCGCAGTTGGCCTTTATGAGAGTGTACTGTGGCCCCAACCCTTCGTGCCTGGTCCAGTCGGCCAACCTGTCCAACGCTCACATTGATTACACCACCAAACCTGCAATCATCTTCAGGATAGCAGCTCGAAACGAGAAGGGGTATGGACCGGCCACACAGGTCAGGTGGCTCCAGGGTAGGTTCGAGACACACTCCCCTACCACCCCACCCCACCCTGCCTTTCACTCCCTTTTCCTTTCCTCTGTTTTCTCATTTGCTCACACCCAACCCTGTCAATTCCTCCCCTTCTCTCTCTGTCACCCTCTCCTCTCCTCGCTCTCCCCGTCGTCTCCCCTCTCTCCCCGTAGCCCCCTCCTCTATCTCCTTCTTCCCCCCACCCACTCCCTGGCACACCCAAGGAGGGGCACTCTTGAGCCTGTCCCCTCGATGTGCGATGGTCACCCTTGTTTAGTGATGCTCTGACAATCAATCCCGTTGCCTTTTTCAGAAACCAACAAAGATGGTTCAGTGGTGAAACCAGCGGTGAAGCGATCCATCAGCTCCCCAGAAACGTAAGCAGTTCACGCATTGCTCATTGGCAAGGATGGTTTTTGATATTGGAAAGGGGTCAGTGCAGTTATAGGGGTCAGAAAAGATGCGACTGTTTGCTGCGCTGTCGGAGGGTCAGGGCCGAGGGAGGGCCGCGCTGTCGGAGGGTCAGGGCCACACACTCAACACACTCTCTCCCGCACTCCTCTTTCAGGAAATCATCGAACATGCCCAAGAAGACGAAAGCGGACGGCCAGTGAATTTTGTATTATCTCTGATCGTGCACCCCCTCCCGTCCAGCAACCCCCCCCCTCCCCACCTCCCGCCCCATGCACACAGTGGAACGGGGAGCCCCAAGGTCGGGCCGGGGGGCTTTTTTATCCCCCCCCCCCCCCCATACCCCTCCCTCCACCCCCCATCCCCTGCCAAACCAATGAACCACATCTTGCGCCTTTGTGTAAGTTGTGACTGGGCACCTCTGCTGAAAGCAGTAATCTACCCGTGGAACGAGCAAGGATTGAATGGACAGGACCGGAAGTTGCTTCGATTTTTGAACAGAATGCAAATCTCAAACTCGAGCTCCCTAGCACCCTCACCACCCCCACCCCCAGCCCTGCCAGCTCTCCCCTTGTCCAAACTCCTCGGAGAGACAGGAAGGGGAGTCGCGGACGGAGACCTACGTGTGTTGTGCCACAGGAAGCCACGCCTCGCTGCGTGCGTGGAGCTTGCAGAGAGGAATATCGTTTTTTTTTATTATAAATGTGTATATATATAGGTGTAAAACAGCGCGAGAATTTTAGTCTGAGGAATTGTTCCTGAGTTAGCTCACTTGTGATGAGGAGGGACTGGGACACTGTCTCGAGATTTCCCCACACTCGCCGAACGGGAGCTGTCTGAGAAAGAGCTTTTGTTTTCCAGCCATACCAGGGCAGCATGGGTCCTGGAGTTGTGTATATATAACCCTTTTGGTCTGGTCATTCCGTCCCTCTGTCCTTCACCCACCTCTCGCTCTGTTTCATCACTTCCCTGCATCTCGTTTTCTCTCTCTTCTCCCTCTCTGTGTCTCACTTTCTCTCTCTGTGTCTCTCTCTCTCTCTCTCCCCTCTGGTTCTGTCCACTCGCTCCCTCTCCAATCACATCTGAGCTGGGGAGGGATAGGGACGGATCAAACCATTTGACTGAAAGATGTTTTTAAAGATGAGTGGGGCGTCTCCGGTCAGTCCCATCCCAGTTCCTCCTCAGGCCCCCTAACCTGGAGATAATGGTCTGATGATCTGTTGGAGCTCCTCGGAGCGAGTTTTTTTTTGTAGGACTCCAATGATGTTCGTATTGTGTAGCTTTGTGTCGACTTTTTTTTTCCTTTTTACATATGAAAACCAGTATTTGAAATAGACGTTTTGGTGGTTGTGGTAAGACTTTCCATTTCTACTTTAGCAACAAAGGGCACCGCTGCAAGGCCTCAGCTGCTCTGGTCCCAGCGCAGTCCGGGTGAGCCGTGGTTTCTGAGGGCCAGGCTTCGGGACTGGTTTATTGGCCACATCCGATTTTCCAATGCTCCCCAGGACCTGGCTCCCACCCACTGGCTCTGGCTAGTGATCTCGTCTGGTGCAACAAAAGTGTACAATTCTGAAAACTGTGCAGTCATCCCAGTGTGATTGGCAGCAGTAGGCTCGCTGAGATGTGGGCACCGTACCACCTCCGCGCATAGCTGCACCCATCATCCAGCTCCCGGCTAACCATATTGTCTGTTGAAGTGTTGATGAGGTTTCTAAGCCACCCTGGGGTGGGCTGTATTCCCGAGGTCTTTATGTGCATCGCTGTCTGGTCTCAGCGTTTACCGCCTGTCCCTAACTGCCCCTCGAGAAGGTGGGGGTGACCTGCTGCAGTTCCCCACCACTGTTAGGGAGGGAGTTCCAGGATTCTGACCCCGATTACGCTGAAGGAACGGCCCTTATCATTCCAGACCAGGATGACGTGGGGGGGCTCGGAGTAAAACTTGCAGCGGCTCATTTTCTGTGTCTGCTGCCTGTCCTGTCCTGTCCTTCCAAGGCGTAGAGGGTGGTGAGTTTGGAAGGTGCTGTCAGAGGATCCTTGGCAAGTCGCTGCAGTGCGTCTTGTAGACGGTACATACTGCTGCCGCTGTGTGTCGGTGGTGGAGGGAGGGAGGGAGTGTTGAAGGTGATGGTTTCGAGTGGGAGGGTTTTTTGCTCTGTCCTGGATGGTGTTGAGTTTCTCGAGTGTTGTTGGAGCCTTGTGTCCAGGCAAGTGGGGAGTATTCCATCACCCTCCTGACTTGTGCCTTGTCGATGGTGGGACAGGCTTGCGGGGAGGGAAGAGTCGGGGGGGGGGGGGAAGTTACTCGTTGCAGGATTCCCAGCCTCTGACCTGAAATCCTCTTCACTGTCAGATCACCCCCTCACCCCCAACTCCAATGAACCCTAATTTTGAGGAGGTGGGAGGGATGAATACACATTTGAGAATACTCGGTTCCTTAAGCCTGCTCTGTCATTCAACAAGATCATTGCTGGTCTGATTACTCCTTCCATAATGTTCATCGTGAATCTATCTACCTCTGCCTGGAGTACTGAAAGGCTGTGCAACTTGACGCTATTAGATCATTAGCAAATGATGTTTTTTTTAATGTCGTTAAATTTACTGAAAGCATGTGTGGTTCGCAATTCATTCAGTACAACGGATCCTCCCTTCTCATTCTCTCCTCTGGCTCTGAACTCTCGCTCCATTCCAGAGCTGTTGCTAAGCACTGTCTGGGTTTGATGCCTCTAACCTGTGACAGGGAGAGACATACCTGCCCACTTCAGGACAGCATGGTGCTGTCAGACGTTTTTTTCCATGCGGAGATCGGGGCATATTCTGTTCTTGGGAATAATTCTGTGATACCATTGAGAGGTGACTCGTTCACTCCACTGATGCAGACTTTTGTCCCAAACCATTGCCACCCCCCCCCCCCCCAAAAAAAACTTTCTAATACTTCATGTCCCAAAGCCCCATCTCTTTCACTTTCTTTCAGTAAATGTATCACCTTAGCTCCTCCCGACAGAGGTCGTGGGTTCCCCTTCCACTCTGTTAATTTCCCAGTCCATTTATTCGGCACAGATGTGTGGGCCCAATCCCTCTTCCCAGATCGGGGTAACGAGCAAACTTGTCAGAGGGTCAGTGCCGTGGGAGCGCCGCAGTCTCAGGGAGGTCGGCGCTGAGGGTGCGCTGCATTGTTGGGAGATTTCCAGATGAAACGGTGCAGTAAGGCTCTGTGTGCCTCTCAGTTGGACAGAAAGATCCCACAGAACCATTTCTGGAAGAGCGAAGGAGTTTGCCAGTTTTCTGAGCCAGATTCGCTCATGGGTAGCTTCCTTTGCGCAAATTGGCTGCTGCACTTTCCCTCCAATACAGTCGCTACCACAAGCACACCGTGGGCTGCAAGGTACTTTGGATGTGCCCCGAGTGAAAGCTTTCTCCAGGATCATCCCATATCATAACCCTTGCCATGATATACCTGAGCTTTAGGAGCTTGGCCCAGGCTGGAGCAAGTTTCAGCAGCATACACAGGACAGAGCCTCACCCTAATGGGGCAGGCTAGAGGGGCTGAATGGCCTGCTTTCCGATGAAAGAACATTTGTTTAGAGTCGAGCATGTCCCCCCACCAGGGAGTGAGCAAGAGAAAAGTGTGAAGTCACCATGGGTTTCTTTATTCATTCACAGGATGAGGGTGTCCATGGAAAAGGCAGCATTTATCACCCATCCCGAACTGCCCTAGAGCAACTACATTGCTGGGTCTGGAGTCACATGTAGGCCAGACCAGTTTCCTTCCCTAAAGGACATTAGTGAACCAGATGGGTTCTTCCCAACAATTGACAATGGATTCATTGCTGTTGTCAGACTCTTCATTCAGATTTTTTTTTTTAAATTGAATTCAGTTTCCAGTATCTGTCGTGGCAGGATTCAAACCTGGGTCCCCAGAACATTACCCAGGTCTCTGCACTAACAGTCCTGCTTTAGTAAACACCGAAAGAACTGCAGGTGATGTAAGTTGAGAACAAAAACAGCAGCTGGAGAAGCTCAGCAGGTCTGGCAGTTTCTGTGAAGATAAATTAGAGTTAATGTTTCGGGTCTGGTGTCCCTTCCTAGGAGCGTTCGGACCTTAACTCTGAATTTTTCTTCACAGTTGCTGCCAGTCCTGCTGAGCTTTCCCAGCAACTTCTATTTTTGTTCTAGTCGTTCTTTAGTGTTCTCAGTTCTAGTTCATCTTTGTTAGCAATGAATTTAAATTCTTCACAAAATGAATGAGCAGATCCCAGCGGCTAACGTGAAAGTGCAGTGAACAGTCTGGTCCGTCCTTTGCTGGCGGAGATCGGAGATGGGTGCCAAGTCGAGATGTTCCTGAAATGGTACTGGATGGCTGAGGGACACAGCAAGCTGTCATTGGAAGGGGTGATAGGGTTTTGCCTGTGAAGGAGGAAGGACTGAGACAGAGGACAGGAGCCTGGGGCAAGGTGGAGACAGTAAGTGGGAGGCGAGGGAGGGCAGCTGGGTCAGCACACCAGCCACCAGAGATGGCAGACAGGCCTTAGAAGCAAAGCTGCCTCCGGTTCAGCCACAAGCACAGGCGTTCCGCTGTCTGTCTTCCTCTGGCATCAGCTGAACCTGGTCAAATTGGTCCGCAATCTGGTCCTCCCTTCTCAGCTGTGGGAGAATCCGACAGCACAGTATCAGAGAGTGAACCATACCGCACCATTTATTCCATGCTAGTGTTAGCACGCAACTCTGCAAGCCCACCCAACCTATCCCATATTCTTCCATCTCACTCTCCCTTGTGTGTTTATCCACAATCTCCAATTTTAAATACATCAACATGATGTCCCATTTCTCTATTTTCCATGTTCGATTCTCCAAACCCTCCTAAGTGTTTGAAGAATCTCTTGCTGTCTGTTTTTGTATTTCTGACTAGCTTTCTCTCCTACTCAAATTCTGCACTCCACCCCAACCTTTCTGTTATTCTTTCCTGTTTCTGATAAAACTAATCCTCTGACCCCACATCTCTGCACAATTTTAAGTTGTTCCCTTAACCATGACATTGTGTCTGGTTAACCAAGGATACTGGGTTGGTCCCTTGGATTTCTTTTAGCATGTTGGAAATATCTTCCTCAATTTCTGTCACACTCCATCTCAACTGACCCCTCCTGGAGTTTGACAGGCAATGTGACGTCTGAAAGTGTCACACCACGTTTTGGGAGGGGTGGTGTTCAGTGCTTTGGCAGCAGGCACCCAGAACTATGATACTTCTGACTAAGATACTACTGCACTACCTCATCCACCCAACCCCCAGGCTCGGGAAATCTTTTCACACCCACTGGGACCTTACCCGCTTCAAAGCGAGCCGTACGCCATCTTGAAATGCCTCCTCCACGTTCAGCGCATCCTTGGCACTGGTCTCGATGTACTTCAGACGGTGCGCACTGCACCAATTCTCTGCCAGCTTTGAGATAACCTGTGGAGTGACAGTGGCAGGAGGAATAGATCCTAGTTCCCAGAGAATCCAACACACCCTTCCCAACCACTCTCAAAGACCCTGACTTTACTGAGGACCAGAAAGGAGGGGGGGGGAAGCAAGAGGCAATGGAGTAGAAAGGGAGAGGCAAAGGATGGAGGGTGAAGTGAAGAATGGGAAGCGAGGGCGGTATCTACTGCACGTTTTTGGGGGCATACATTTAAGATGAGAGGGGAAATGTTCATAAACACAGTGATAGGTATCTGGAACGCGCTCCCAGGGTTGGTGTTGGAGGCAGATATAATCGGGGCTTTTAGATAAGCACATGAATATACAAGGATGGAGGATCATGGGCTAAGGGCAGGCAGAAGGGATTAGTTTAATTTGGCGATAACAGTGTGGAGCTAGAGGAATGGAGCAAGAAAGTTGACGTTTCAGTTTGTGACCCTTCAGAAATGGGAGAAGAGGGAAGGGAGCTCAGAAATAAATAGAGAGGAGGGTTGGGCTGGGGAAGGTAGGTAGGATGGTGATAGGTGAGTGCAGGTAGGGAGTGGTGGGGATTGGTCAGTGAGGTGGGAGAGAAGATGGACAGGTTGTGTCAGGTCAAGGAGATGGGGATGAGAGGGAGGGTTGGTCATGGGATGAGGCCGGGGGTGGGGAGATTTTGAAACTGGTAAAATCCACATTTAGGCCATTGGCTGTAGGCTACCGAGGAGGAATATGAGATACTGCTCCTCCAGTTTCCAGGTGGCGTCATTGTGACACTGGAGGAGGCCCAGGATGGACATGTCACCCAGGGAGTGGGAGGGAGAGTTGAAATAGTTCGCGACTGGAAGATGTTGTCGTTTGTCGCGAACAGAGCACAGGTGCTCTACAAAATGATCTCTGAGCCTCCGCTTGGTCTCACCGATGTAGAGGAGGCCGCAGCGGATGCAATAGACCACATTGACGGATGTGCAGGTGAACCTCTGTCTAATGTGGAAGGTTTGTTTGGTGCCTTGAATGGAGGTGGGGGGGGTTGGTGTAGGGGCAGGTGTAGCACTTCCTGCGGTTGCAGGGAAAGGTGGTGGGGCTAATGGGGAGCATGGAGTGAATGAGGGCCATGCAGAGAGAGCGGTCCGTATGGAAGGCATTTAGGGGTGGGCAGGGAAATGTATCTTTGGTTGTGGGGTCAGATTGTAGGTGGCAGAGGATGATATGTTGGATACGGAGGTTGGTGGGGTGTCATGTGAGGACAAGGGGGATTCTGTCTTTGTTTTTGTGAGGGCAGAGGTGTGGGAAACGCAAGAGATGCGGCTGGGACTATTTTCAACCACCAAAGAGGGGGGAGTTGTGGACTTTGAAAATAAGAGGACATCTGGGATGTTTGGGAGTGGAAGGCCCCATCTTGGGGGCAGTGGTGGAGAAATTGGGAGTAGGGGATCGCATTCTTGCAGGAAGGTGGGTGAGATGAGGTGTAGTCCATTTAGCTGTGGGAATTGGTGCGTTTGAAATAGATGTTTGTTTTGACTTGGTCACCAGAGATGGAGACAGAGGTGTCCAGGAAGGAGAGGGAGGTAATGGAGATGGTCCAGGTGAATTTCAGGTTGGGGTGAAAGGTAAAGTTGATGAACTGTTCAAGCTCCTTGTAGGAGCACGAGGCAGCGCCCATATAGTCATCAAGTTAGTAGAGGAAGAGGTGGGGGCTAGGGCCAGTGTAGCAGCAGAAGAGGGACTGTTCCACGTATTCTATGAAGAGGCAGGCATAGCTTGGGCCTATGTGGGTTCCCATGGCCACCCCCTTCGTCTGTAAGAAGTGGGAGGAATTAAGGGAGAAGTTGTTAAAGGTAAGGACAAGTTCAGTTAAGAAGATCCTCCCCCGTCACCTCCATTCAAGGCACAAAACAAACCTTCCACATTAGACAGAGGTTCACCTGCACATCCGGCAATGTGGTCTATTGCATCCGCTGCTCCCAATGTGGCCTCCTCTACATCGGTGAGCCCAAGCGGAGGCTCGGAGACCGCTTTGTAGAGCACCTGCGCTCTGTTCATGACGAACAACATCTTCCAGTCACGAACCATTTTAACTACCCCTCCCACTCCCTGGGTGACATGTCCATTCTGGGCCTCCTCCAGTGTCACAATGACGCCACCCGAAAACTGCAGGAACAGCACCTCATACTCCGTCTCGGGAACCCTACAGCCTGATGGCCTAAATGTGGATTTTACCAGTTTCAAAATCTCCCCACCCCTGGCCTCATCCCATGACCAATCCTCCCTCTCATCCCCATCTCCTTGACCTGACACAACCTGTCCATCTTCTCTCCCACCTCACTGACCAATCCCTACCCTGCACTCACCCATCACCATCCCACCTACCTTCCCAAGCCCAACCCTCCTCTCTATTTATTTCTCAGCTCCCTTTCCCCTCCCATTTCTAAAGAAAGGTCCTGACCCAAAATGTCAACTTCCCTGCTCCTCTGATGCTGCCTGGCCTGCTGTGTTCCTCCAGCTCCACACTTATCTCTGACTCCAGCATCGGCAGTTCTTACTATCTCTGAGTAGTTTAATTTGGCGTTATGTTCAGCACAGTATTGTCGGCCGAAGGGCCCATTCCTGTCTGTGTAGTTCTATGTTCTATATCTTGCCCTCGGAGATCATCAACTTCAAACAGTCTCTGCTCTGGTACAATTGTAAACTTTAAATCTTTTTAAAAAGTACCTGTACTAGTTGAAGAACTGTGGGCTGCAGTTGTAAAGGAATTCTCTCCTGTGCAGGTACACATGAGGAAGCCGTACTGAACCTTTTCTGATACTAGGTCAATTGTTTCAAAGACTCCTCTGCAAGGCTTTCTTCACAAACCTTCCCTGCTTTGTTTCTCGAGTTATTCTGCTTGGAGTGCAGAGTGTGTTTATGTGTGACAAACTTTATTTCAAACTTTACATCTTTTTTTCCTTCTGAGTAAAAACTGACCTCAGGAGCACCCACTAGACTAAGTGAGGAAATGTTGTACCCAGTGCTGGCTTTATCCAGCAGACTGCAATACAAGGATAGAAGCTAGAGAAAGCAGAAAGAGAAATTCTTCGCCTTCACTGGCTCTGCTCCTGTGCTGAGAGAGAATCTGTTGGTCAAGGACAAGCCTCACCAACCACCACTGGATCTGCTAAATACAACCTTTATCAGCAACAGAGTGCAAAGAGATCAGCGATTAGATTCTTTTGTGCAGTATCATAGACCCCACCACCTGGAACATTTTCCACTCCTCACCTCTCTCTGCCTTCCTCCAGGACCATTCCCTTCACTACTCCTTAGATCACACCACACTCCCCACCAACCTGCCTAATACCTTCCCCTGTAACCATAAAAGATGCAACACCTGCCCACACGCCACCTCCATCCAGGGGCCTAACCAGCCCTTCCAAGTGAGACACAGCTTCACCTGCATCTCCTCCAACCTATTGCATCCAGTGCTCCCGATGTGGTCTCCGTTTCACCGAGCACTCCTCCCTCCGACATGTCTGTCCTCCAGCCTCCTCCAGTTTTGCAGTGACTCAGAACGCAAATTTGAAGAACACCTTATCTTCCGCCCAAAGGACTCAACATTGAGTCCTCCAATTTCAAATAACCTTCCCACCCATCCCCCTGCTTCCCCTTCCAGCCCCACCTCCTCCCTTCCAATCCACCTTCTGACCCTCCCTTCCAGCCGGCAACCGGATTCATCCCACCCATCGACCAATCAGGTCATACCCAACACCTCCAGCACCCCTGCCCCAACTTACCTGCAGCTTCCCCCTACCCTCACATGCAGTCCTGAAGAAGGGTAATACCCAAAACATTGACTGTTCCTTTTCTCCAGATGCTGCCTGGCCTGCTGTGTTCTTCCAGCCTCCTGTTTGTCTACCCTGGATTCCAGTATCTGCAGGTTTCTTGTCTACAGTTGAATAGCTGGTGGCGTGCAGCAGGAGGCTCATGTGCTGACAAGCCACCCAGTATTGGTGGAGGGTGTGTGTGTGTGTGTGTGTGAGGGAAATGCAGGATGCCGTGGTTCAGTGCCAATGTGCAGGGGGAGGGGAATATTTTCTGAGAATCTTACCTCTCTGCTGCCGCTCAGGTCAGCCTTGTTCCCAACGACGAGGAATGGAAAGTTGTCTGGATCCCTGGGGTCAGCCTGGAGCAGGAACTCCTTTCGCCAGCTATCCAGTGCCTTGAAGGAGGCCTCTGAGGTCACATCAAACACCAATACACAGCAATCCGCGGCCCTATACAGGAAAGAGCCCAGCGAATGGAAACGCTCAGTGCCAGCTGTGTCCCAGAGCTGGGGAGAGGGGCAAGAAGGGTAAACATTGATCACAGAAACCCTGCTGGGAGTCCCATTCACCCCTCCCTCTGCACAGCCAACCCTCCTGCTGGCCTTATTTGATTGAACAAGGCCATTCGGCCTCTCAGTTCCATGCTGGTGTTGCTGCTCCATATGAGCCTCTTCCCACCCACTGATACATAACCCCACCCATAACATCGTCCCTTCGCCCCTTTGTGGTCACCCCACATATGCCCCAAAACACTTGGATACAATTCCTGTGGGAGCCAATTCCACGTTCTCCCCATGGGATCAAGATCAGTTCTATACATTCTCTGGGGAAAGACCTCCAGCCCCTACACTCCTGAAACTGTCACCTCCTCCGGCCCCCCTACACCCCCCCCCTGTCTCTGTCACCTCCTCCCCCCCCCCCCCCCCCCCCCCTCCCTGTGTCACCTCCTCCTCCGGCTCCTTACACCCCCTCCCTGTCTCTGTCACCTCCTCCAGCCCCCTACACCCCCTCACTATCTCTGTCACTTCCTCCAGCACCTACACACCCTCCCTATCTTTGTCACCTCCTCCAGCCCCCTACACCCCCTCCAGCCCCTACAACCGACCTTATCCCTGGCACCTCCTGTGATCCTCCAAGATCTCTGTGCTCCTCCAGTTCCAGCCTCTCAAGCAACCCCTGACTCCTGTTTATAAAAAAACCGAAAGAACTGCGGCTGCCGTAAATCAGGAACAAAAAGAGAAGTTGCTGGAAAAGCTCAGCAGGTCTGGCAGCATCCGTGAAGAAAAAAATCAGCGTTGATGTTTTGGGTCCGGTGACTGAGTTTTGAGGAAGATGCTGCCAGACCTGCTGATCTTTTCTAGCAACCCCTGGTTACTGTTGCTCTGCCATTGGCAGCTGTGCCTTCAGATGCCAGGGGGTGGGGTTTGCCCTGAGCTTTGGCTGCGGCGGGGGTCAGGGACAGATGGGGTGGGGGGCGGTAAGTGTCTCTTGCTGTTACGAACCTGCACACACACGTTTTTGCCGTCGACAGTGATGTTACGGTTGAGGAAATCCACTCCAATAGTCGCCTTGTACTGATTGGTGTAATGCTTGTTCACGTATTGGTTCATGAGGGATGATTTCCCCACCCTGAAACAGGCCAAGGACAGGGTCACCGACTACATCAGAGAAATACCACAGCACAGCGGGAGGCCATTTGGCCCATTGTATCTGTGCTGGCTCGTCATTTCCCGCCACAGCCCCACAACAGTATGGAAACTGAGCCTTTGGACCAACTCGTCCATGTCGAACAGGTTTCCCAAACCAAACGAGTCCCATTTGTCTGCATTTGGCCCATTTCCTTCTAAACCTTTCCTATACAGGTACCTGTCCAAACTTCTTTTAAATGTTGCAACTGTACCTGCATCGATCACTTCCTCTGGTAGTTCATTCTATACACACACCATCCTCTACGTGAAAATGCTGCCCCTCAGGTCCCTCTTAAATCTTTCCCCTCACACCTTAAGCCTATGCCCCTCTAGTTTTGGACTCCCCTATGCTGGGGGGAAAAAGGTTCAGCCTCAGCCTGGAGGATTATGTCCAGTTCTGACATTAGAGTCCCAATCACCGGTCACCCCATGCTCACTGATGGCACTCTCCTGGTCCATTTTTTCCAGCCCCTTCACCGCTCCCTGTCTCTGTCACCCCCTCCAGCCCCTTCACCCCCTCCAGCCCCCTACACCCCTCCCTGTCTCTGTCACCCCCTCCAGCCACTTCACCCCTCCCTGTCTCTGTCACCCACTCCAGCCACTTCACCCCTCCCTTTGTCACCCCCTCCAGCCCCTTCACCCCCTCCCTATCTCTGTCACCTCCTCCAGCCCTTACACACCCGCCCTATCACCTCCACCAGACCCCTTCACCACCTCCCTAGCTCTGTCACCTCCTCCAGCCCCTACACCCCTCCCTATGTAGAATACAGTCAGAAATCACACGACACCAGGTTATAGTCCAACAGGTTTATTTGAGAACACAAACTTTTGGAGCCTCAGTCCTTCAGATGTTAGTGAGAGAGGTAATATCAGACACAGAATTTATCAGTAAAAGATCAAAGGGACACACCATTGATGAGGATGTATTAAACAAACCTAAGACGCTGTTAAATCTTTAATCAGTTAGAGAGTTTTAATTGATTATTATGTATATGTAAATCACTGAGTTTCTTTCAAGTCACAGTCCTGAGAGAACTAAAGGTTTTATCAGTGTAAAGAGGTGAGATTTTAGGTCAGGCAATGCAGGTTAGGTGTGAGACCTTGTTTAGAATCTGTTTGTGTTTTGGTTTGAAGTCAGACAGGTGTGTGACAACAAGGTGCAGAGCTGGATGAACACAGCAGGCCAAGCAGCATCATAGGAGCAGGAAGGCTGACGTTTCGGGCCTAGACCCTTCATCTGTGTTGTGTACGTGTGTGGGGTGGGAGAGGTGAGTGTGTGTATGGGGTAAATTTGTATTTGCAGATATATTTTGTTCAAAAAGCACACAATCTATAGACAGTCAGTCAATGTGATGTTCTACAAATTCCTACTTTAGAAATAAAACCAGTCTGGCTCCAAATCAAAACACAAACAGATTCTAAACAAGGTCTCACACCTAACATGCATTGTCTGACCTAAAATCTCACCTCTTCTTTTCACTGGTAAAACCTTTTGTTCTCTCAGGACTGTAACTTGAAACAAACTCAGGGATCTACATATACATAATAATCAATTAAAACCCTCTAATTGATTAAAGATTTAACAGCATCTTAGGTTTGTTTAATACATCCTCGTCAATGGTGTGCCCCTTTGATCTTTTACTGATAAATTCTGTGTCTGATATTACCTCTCTCACTAACACCTGAAGAAGGAGCAGTGCTAGGAAAGCTTGTGTTTTCAAATAAACCTGTTGGACTATAGCCTGGTGTTGTGTGATTTCTGACCTTGTCCACCCCAGTCCAACACCCGCACCTCCACATCAAATTTGGAATTCAGCCCTCCCTAAACCTGGGGATAGTAGGAACTGCCGATGCTGGAGTCTGAGATAAAAAGGTGTGGAGCTGGATGAACACAGCAGGCCAAGCAGCGTCAGAGGAGCAGGAAAGCTGACGTTTCAAGTCTGGACCCTTCTTCAGAAATGGGGAGGGGGCCAGGACTCTGAAATAAATGGAGGGGGAAGCGGTGATAGAAGGTGGACAGTGGAGCGGATAGGTGGGAGAGAAGACGGACAGGTCAAGGAGACAGGGATGAAGCTAGTAAAGGTGAGTATAGGTAGGCAGTTGGGTTGGCGGTTGGTCAGTGAGGAGCGACTGGGAGGTGTTGTCGTTTATCGTGAACCGAGCATAGGTGTTCCACAAAACTGTCTCTGAGCCTCCACTTGGTCTCGCCAATGTAGAGGAGGCCACATTGGCAACAGCGGACACAATAGACCACATTGACGATGTGCAGGTGAATGTGGAAGGTTTTCTTGGGGCCTGGGATGGGGGTGAGGTGTAGGGGCAGGTGTAGCACCTCCTGTGGTTGCAGGAAAAGGTGCCGGGGGTGGTGGGGCTGCTGGGGAGTGTGGGGCGGATGAGGGCGTTGTGGAGAGAGCAGTCCATCCGGAAGGCAGATAAGGCTGGGGAGGGAAGTATGTTCTTCGTAGTGCAGTCAGATTGCAGGTGGCAGAAGTGTCAGAGAATGATGCGTTGAATCCGGAGGTTGATGGGGTGATACGTGAGGACAAGGGGAATTCTGTCTTTGTTGTTATTGTGGGGAGCGGGTGTGAGGGCTGAGGTGCGGGAAACGTAAGAGATGCGGTCAAGGGCGTTTTTGACCACTGGGGTGGTGGTGGGGGGAATTACGGTCCTTGAAAAACGAGGACATCTGGGATGTCCGGGAGTGGAACGCCTCATCTTGGGACCAGATGTGGCGGAGGCGAAGGAATTGGGAATAGGAGGTCACATTCTTGCAGGAAGGTGGGTGAGAGGAGGTGTAGTCTAGGTAGCTGTGGGAGTCGGTGGGCTTGAAGTAGATATCAGTTTCAAGGTGGTTACCAGAGATGGAGACAGAGAGGTCCAGGAAGGAGAGAGAGGTATCAGAGATGGTACAGGTGAATTTGAGGTTGGGGTGGAAGGTGTTAGTGAAGTGGATGAACTGTTCGAGCTCCTCGTGGGAGCATGAGGCGGCGCCGATACAGTCATCGATGTAACGGAGGAAGAGGTGGGGTTTAGGGCCAGTGTAGCTGCGGAAGAGGGATTGTTCCACGTATCCTACAAAGAGGCAGGAATAGCTTGGGCCCATGCGGGTACCCATGGCCACCCCCTTTGTCTGTAGGAAGTGGGAGGAGCTGAAGGAGAAGTTGTTAATGGTGAGGACGAGTTCCGTTAGGCAGATAAGGGTGTCAGTGGAGGGGGCCTGGTTGGGCATGCAGGAGAGGAAGAAGCAGAGGGCTTTCAGGCCTCCCTAAACCTCCCTGACTCTTCCTTTCTCTTGTCCCCAACTTTATGATGATCCTTGAAGATAAAACTGTTTGAGGTTTTGGTCACTTTTCCCTGAAATCTCCGTGTGTGGCTTGGGGTTCAATCCACGCTCCTATGAGCAACTTGGGGCCCGGAAGTACGGTAAAGGTGCTACACTAATCTGTTATAACACTTGGTGTGTTACTGAATAAAACATGGAAAGCAGCACACTAAATAATCACTTTGTAACACACAACAAGAACCTTGCTGAAAACACAGACACCATCAGGACATGCTTAAGAATTTAAACTTCAGGAGGGACAAGACCATTGTAATTGCATGTAGCATTGCCATGGATAGGGCTACAGATTGTTCAAACTCCTGGTTAATTCCAAAAAGGGGTTTGACCGATTATCTTAAATGGTTTGTTCAGGGGAGTTATTCACACAATTGGGATTGTTCAGCAAATAGCTAGCAGATGGTCACCGGAGATACAAGGTGTTGGTGACTCCCAGTCTGTGCAGGTGTAGTGAGAGGAATGGCCTCAGTGATGGATGATATTTGGGTGGGGAGAAAGGGGTCACAAATCAAAGGGGACTCCCCCACCCTGCAGAACAGTAATCAAAGAACCGTTACAGTGTGGAAGCAGGCTATTTGGCTCATCCTACCCAGAATCGCCCAGAAGGACAACCTTCAGGTGAACAGGCGTCGTCATTGATTCTGCAATATCCAATGGGGAGATGGCAGAGTTCTGAAACAGAGAATGGGTCACACGTTACCAGGAATAACAGAACTGGTTTGTTCAACGGGATACAATGGTAAAGTCATAAGGGTCATGCTGTGGGGAGACACAGATTCAACTCCCACCACGGCCCCTGGTAGAATTTAAATTCAATTCATAAAACCAGGAACTGAGAGCTAGTCCGAACGATGACGAAGAATGTCAATTCATGTACAAATCCATCAGGTTCACGAAGGTCACTGCAGGCAGGGAAATGTACCACCCTTACCCAGTCTGGGACTACACATGACTCCAGCCTCATGTTGATTAGCAACAGGCAACAAATGTTGCTCTGACCCATGACACCCACATCCCATGAAAGAACAATGGGAAAATAAAATGCGTTGTTAGTCGTTTAAGGGATCCGTGTGGAAACTGACTGTTTAAGACTACCCGGCTTAGGCATTTTCATTTGGAAAAAAATTGGAATGTTCCAGGAAGGTGACAAGGATGTTCTCATCCAGAGATTTTCTCAAGCTCAAAGTGTCACAGACCCTTTCACCGCAGACAACTTTCCTGAAGTGGGCTTCACCCTTGTAAGGTGACCCTCCAACAGTGCCCCCTCCCTCAGTGCACCATCCCTCAGCACTGACCCTCCGACAGTACCCCCTCCCTCAGCGCTGACCCTCCGACAGTGCGGTGCTCCCTCAGCACTGACCCTCCGACAGTGCGGCACTCCCTCAGCACTGACCCTCCGACAGTGCCC